CATTGACATCGACAACAACAAATCCATTGCCAACGTCAGCGTCATCACCAACGCCAACCTGTTCAATATCGCCTCACCTAGTAGTAAATGTCGGGAGTGTTCTTGGCTGCATTCGGTACGTTTTAGTTGTATTAGTCGTATGTTCGGTCGGTCGGTCGTACAGTGGATCAGTTGATTGAGGACGCGTCGGTCAGTCGCGCGGACGGTTCCCTATCGCAAGCACACTGCAACTGTCACTGTCACTGTCCCTAACACTCGAAATTGTCGACTCTGTCGTTCGGTCGGAAAGTGGAGACGTTGCATCGTTCCGCCCTCGGCGCTCAATACACAACGTATCAATTTTATGTTCTATGTGTTGTTATGTTCCGGTTTCATAGTTTCGTAATTGGTATTTTTCGCTTTAGGAGCTGATATCAATTTCGGTCGTAACTATTAGTGATGTCGCTCTTGCCTACGTTACATCTAAACCCTCTATTGGTGTCATTGAACTAGTGATTTATTGTGTTTAACTGAACTGTATATGCCTGTGTATGTGCAAAGTTGTTGTAAAAGTGAGAGAAGCGAAAGTATTTTTCGGACTTATTGGTGCATTCATTAGTGATTGAAAGTCCTGCTTTTACCAACATTTTGATTCGGTCTCTTTAACCATATTTCATCGAAATCGCTTAAAAGATCGTATTTTCGTTCGGTTGTTTTGTAACTTAACCGCTCTGTGTTCGACAAGAGTGCGTTGGTGCTCGAGTGAAGTAGAAAACGTGACGAATGCATTCGAAACTCTCCTTGGATCATTCACAGCGTCACTTGCAATATTTGAATACCTCCCCGAATTATCCGATTTTAGACAAGTGTCGCTGCAAAGTTCATCACCTGCACAACAGTTGTCACCAGCAAATCTTGCAACCTCCAGCACAGCAACCGCAACAGTTTACACCACAATATCACCTGCAACAACAACAATCGCAAATTCCACAACATCTGCATCACCATCACCATCATCACCACCATCACCATCAGACTTTCGTAGCTACAGCTTCCAGCTTTTCCGCCAACTCTTCATCATTCTCTTCATCGTCGGCCTCTGCACTGTCCTCGACATCATCTACCATGTACCGGCGCCATAACAATCTCTCTTATTGCGGTGGTAAATATATGCATTCAACGCTAAAAAGTGTTTTTTTTTTTAAATATTTATACTTCAGAGCGGGCCGATTTACAGGCAGCCAACCACTTTGCCAAAGAGACTGTGGGTCTAAAGCCAAGTTTTAATGCTAAGTTTGTTAGTTACTCTTAAAATTTGTTCATCAGTTCTTGAGATATCCGAATGAAATCCATTACGTAGGTGCGTTTTAATATTCTCTTGGTAATTTTTCGGAATTGGCTAGATCGGGCAACTATGTCACATATCTACCATACACGCTTAGAATTTTTGAACCCGAGACCCTATGTGTCTTAGGTAAAGTTATTCAAAATGATTCGTAAAAATTTTATAGAAAATTTATAGGAAAAATCGGTCGATATCTACATATAGACCCAGTAATAGAACCTAAATACTGACATTTTAGAGGCAAGCCAAATGAACTCACATATTGGCCGATATATGAGGTAACAAGCCACCCGGAAGTTCCAAAATCTGTATATAGGGTTTATGGAGGCTCAGGGAAGTATTAACCCGATTCAACCCATTTGTAGCACACAGACATACTACTACCGGAAAAGGATTATCTCTGAATTTCAATTATAAATCTGACACATTAACCAAAATTTTAAGTAAAAAGTCAACTATTGGTATTGAAGTCCAAATATTCGGTAACTAGAGGCTTGAACAACTTTTTTTAGTTTTTTGATTTTTACAATTTTAGACCAGAAGGTGGTATACCCTAAAGGTATTATTTGTACAAAGTTTTATCTCGTTATATTAATTACTTCTTGATTCGAACACTCGAAACTTGTTTGCTCCTGTGTCAAATTATAGTTATACGAGTATATCTTAATTATGTGCATAGTTAGGACTCTCTATAGGCGAAAAAGGGGCGCAGAAAAATTAATTTTCTTGCTAAGAAGCCGATAAATGATATGCATATATCATAAAAAATTAGATACAAAAATTTTTTGTCAGCGAGTTATTCGCTATTTCCAAAAATTGCTAAAGGTCCTCCATTATTGCAGTGACTGAGGTTTCTACTGTGGTTGAAAATAAAAAAATCATGGGTATCTTCGGGTAAAAAACAGCCTTCTTTAACTTTGTTTTCTCATATGAAAACATGAAATATTTTAGTTAAGACCTTAACTTAGAACTTGGACGAAAGAAAAAGACTGAAAATTGGATTTTTGGCAGATATTTTTGCAAAAATATTAAAATTTCAGTGAAAATTTCGCCATTATTATTTTTTCAAATAATTGTAACCGAAAAAAATCCTTCGTCCAAGTCTTGAAGAATTGTTGCTCAAAGACTTGTGTAAAATGTCATGAAGATCGGTTGAGTAGTTTTTCAATATCCACAACGAGATACTTTGAACCTAAACTTTGGAAAATGAGTCTTTGTTTCCACATTATTTCCTGATTGTGTCACAACTTATGGTTATACGACTTTTTTTGTCAAATAATCGTCATTTGTGGGAAGTGTTGATTTTCTTCTTCGAATGTCGGGTACTCAAAAAAAGTTTACACGTACGTATCCTCCGCCAAACGCAAGAAGAGCTTGATTCAGGCAAGGAGTCACCCTCAAAGCTATTTAAAAGGGACTATATGCCATGCAAATGATTCAGAGGTCCAACTCGGGTTCGTTATGACCTCAATGCCGGTTGCTGCATAACAACGTTCGCCTTCACGTTGCCAAACTCGTTAAAACCCATATGGAAACGCTCAAATGAGAAGTCCTACCCCACCCGACATATTCCCCAGATATTGTACCGTCCGATTTATAATTTTTTCAGCTTAGCAAGGAAGTTTGAATTTACTGACAACTTCCACTACTTACTTCTCATTTTGATCCGCGCGGTCTTATACTGAACATTCGCAATTTTAGCTCGAACGTGAATATTCGTAAATTCTGTCCAATATTGACTTACACGGCATAAAATATACGCTCATGAGCTATATTCGCTTGTAATATTTTATTGCCAGAATGCTATAATTAGATATTAAATTGTTAACCTTTTAACCATATATAAATATGGAAGTCAACCAAATATAAAATGCTCTCGAAATATACACATGATTCTGATACAGCATCTATAGAAAAGGTTTCTTTAAATCAAGAAGAAACTGGACATACTTATCTGCTAGCAATTTGAAATCGAAAAAAAAATATATTAATATAATATATTATATAAAATAATGTGACAAAAGATCTGTAATTACGGAAAAGTTTGTAAAAATTTGTTTGACAAAAAGCGATAGAATGAGTAATATTTGCCTCTTATCATTTTATACCAATGAACTGAGTGACAAGCTCTGTTGACTCTGTTGAACTAATCCTTCAGTTTTTGAGATTCATTTGTCAAAGCCGCTGACCACCGCGTACCCCTCTAGCTTGTAGAACTGAAGTCCGTGTGTAGCAAATTTTTCGATTAGACAATGGTATCTTCGCGAAACTGATATTACATAGATTACACTAGTTTCCCGTCATTTAGCGACTGTGATGTTAGAAGGTTTGGGTTGCTAAAACCGAAAATGATAGCAAAAATTACTAAAATTACAAAAATAGGTGTACTTAATGGAAAAATTTTGAACTCGAATTCGTACCAGGACACCTTAAATACCCCACAGAGCACTTAGCGCAACAGTCTTTTCAAATTATTCTTGAAGTAACGAAAAAGGAATCGAAAATCTCTCTGTTTTATTCTATTTTAAATATGTTTTACTTTTTTTAGTTTTACTCATGGCGTACTTTAAGCCAAAAAACAATAGATTTTGTAAAAACTCTAAAAACCCCCCTGATCCGCTAATCTTCTAATTCACATTTTTGGCAGCTACTTGGTGAAACCTTCTATTCATAAACAATAGATTCCCAATGAAACGAAACAACGTTAACAAAACGCAAAACGTAACGCCGTTCGGCAAAAATCATCTGACTTTATTATTGCTGCTGTCAATTAGCCGGCGGCTTCATTGTACTTTCCTTTTTCCGAATGAGCTGCAAACTGTGATCCGAAAAAAAAATATAATATACATAAGTGTATCTCGTAGTGGATAATTTAGATTGACTAAAAATTCGGTGGCACCAAATATGTGTTTAGTATGTAACTCTTGACTTGATCTCAAAATTTCCGAGCGATAAATATATTTTTTAGTTTGGTCGAACACCACTTTAAAGAATTTAAGATCAATTACTCAAATTTATCGATTTAACGAAAATTTCACTATATATACATACATACAAACATTGCCAATAAGAGTGATAAGATGTCTTTTCACAAAAAAAAAACACTTGTTAAGGAAATTCAAATGTTTTTCATTTAATGTAAAGTAGAAGCGATGCAATTAAGTTCTGAAAATAGCATCATTCAACTGGTCTCCAAGACTTCTTTTGCAAGAACGAATTCGATGAACTCAATTTTAGAGTACTCTTTTCACTGAATCAAATCGTATGTCATGAATAACACGTTCAATATTGACTTCTAAAGCTTGAATGAGTCTGATTTATTATTTAAAGCGAACGAAAAGTTGCAAGTGGAGCACGATTTTGTTGATAATAAAATTGAATAAATTGTAAACTGTGTTCTTGTGTATATCTTTTCCTGATGAAATTATGAGCATTGCTGAAAATAATGAAAAAAATTATAAATCATGACATATTAAAAATGGCCAAAACGACACTTATTGGCAGACCCGTTATATATGTACATACAGCGGAAGCAAAGTGTAGACCTAATATATTTCAATTTATTAGTTTTATGGTTTAGATTTGGGGCACTATTAGAGCAACCAAAGTGTAAGAGTTTTTGTTCGTTTTCGTTTTAATAGTAATGATGTCCTATTTATTTATTTTTTTTCCGCAGTTTCTGCGCAGGATGCTGGCCAGAACTATCAAGTGCAATATGTAGATACAGAGTTGTATCACGGCAATACCAGCCAAACCCAAATGTAAGCAGAATGCATATCAATTAATATCCTAATGATTAACGAGCTTATTTGTACTTCCATTACACAGGACGTATCCCTTTTGCCCAGTTGGCGACTATCAAACGAATGGTCAAACTTATTACTCCACGGCGGCAGGCAGTAATTACGCAACTTCAGTTACAAACGGACCGGCCACACACGCTTCGTCCCTGCCGTACCTGGTACCCGTGGAAGAAGGATTATTGCTGAACACTTCGTCGCAATCGCACAGTCGAGACTCGCCGCAAAGCTTAACGGTAAATGTTTTAGTCGCATGGAGCGTGCAGCCATTGTAACTGTAATAATGGCATTTGTTTTTAGGAAGTGGCTTACATTCAAGAGGCACAGAGTACACCGCAAACGCCCACATCTACAACAACTACGAACTCTGTGAGTGGTGGTAGCATCGGCACTGGTGGCGGGGGCACATCGCCAGACAGCGAACAAAATGGACTCGGCACCTCCAACAAAGTAGCCTCAGCCACGGTAAGTTCAGTTATATTATGCCGCCTCAAAGGTTTTGCGCACAAATTGATTTGAGTTGTAAAATATTTGCGCAAAATGTGCAAACTGTGTGCGGAATTTTTCATTAATAAAACAACTTTTCACGCATTGCACTCAGTGTGCACGCCCACACCCTTGCACAACACAAACTCACACTTACAATTTGTTGGCGAGTAGCAGCGCATAAATTCCAGTTGCTGACATGTCTATTCCTTCTCTTTCTCGCCCACATTGTTATCTTGCATGCTGCGCTCGGTGGTGGCTGCTGCTGCAGATCAAGTGGTTGTCACGCAACTACGAGACGGCCGATGGCGTCAGTCTACCCCGTTCCACGCTGTACAACCACTACATACAGCACTGCAACGAGAACAAATTGGAGCCGGTGAATGCCGCCAGTTTCGGCAAACTAATTCGTTCGGTGTTCTCTGGCTTGCGTACACGTCGTTTGGGCACACGCGGCAACTCGAAATATCACTACTATGGCATACGCATCAAACCGGACTCAATACTGAATCACATGATGGACGAAAAGCCGACGTATTCAACACATACCGGGAATAGTGTGTCGACCGGCATTGGGCATTCCACGGCCAGCGGCGGTGTAGTGTCAACCAGTGGAGGCGGCGGCAATGGCAATAGCAATATGCAGAACAATGGCAATCGCAGTTTGAAGAAGTTGAGTTTCAAGCCAGAATCCTACGAAACTTGTGCACAGGTAAATTGTTATGCAATAATAAAAATGCGCTGAAAATCATCGATTTAATTATGAATACTGATTCCTCACATTGATATTTCTTTTGACAGTATTTGGGCGATGGCGCTGGCGCGATTCCCTCGTTTCCCGCCATCGATTTGAATCACACCTACAGTAGTGAGCTCTCGCTTGAGGATGTGGAGACATTTCGCGCCATGTACCGCGAGCATTGCGAATCCTTTTTGGATGCTGTGCTAAATCTGGAGTTCAGTACCATTGAATATTTGTGGCGTGACTTTTGGCGTGCCAACGACAACAACAATTTAGAGGAATGTGAAGAGGAGAAGTATCTGAGCAAGACGAAACTGTATCTGCTGTGCCATTGCGCAGAAGTACAAAAGTTTATCAAAGAGGTGAGGTGGTGTTATTATTTCGATTTTTCACTTCCGCCATGCAATATTAATACTCAATATTTTTCTTCATCAGGTTGACTATCAATTCTACCAAAATATGGTCGATGTAATCATTCCTGATGTTCTACGCTCCATACCGAATGCTCTCACACAAGCCATTCGCAATTTCGCTAAAAACCTGGAGCTTTGGTTGTGCGAATCCATGGTTGGCGTGCCTGATCGCTTGGTACAAATCAAATCGGCAGCGGTGTCGGCATTTTGCCAAACTCTGCGACGCTACACCTCGCTGAATCATTTGGCGCAAGCAGCGCGTGCCGTACTCCAGAATAGTTCGCAAATAACACAAATGCTGAACGACTTAAATCGTGTGGACTTCCATAATGTTCAAGTAAGAAGTTTTTATTTTTATTTGTTTTTTTTTTTTGTCTATTTCGAAATTGAACGAACATGAGTGCATGGTGTTTTAAAAATGAATACTTCGATTGGGTTTTATTGTTCGGTGTAAAGTTAGGTAAGTTAGGGAATACCTGTTGGAAAATTGTATGATCAACAATTTTATATAATAATGAGGGCTTCAACAATTTTTTGATAATAACTAGGTTCCAGAAAGTTTGCAGTTCAAAGCATTTTTTAGGAAAGTTGTCAGACGTTTATAATTTAATAAAAATTATGAAGTTAATCGAGGTATTGAGGTATATAGTTGTATTTTTGTTATTTTTTAACGCAGACGCAACAGAAAACTTCCTCCTGACCCTGGGTGGACTTGATGCCAGCACGAGTCAAGAGAATACGGAGCAACTTAAAGCTTACCGATCCAAATGGGGGGTAGATACTCAAAAAAAACAGCTCTTGGCTGCTGTTGTGGAATTTCGGAATGGTTGTCATCTGTTTAAAATATAATATTAAAATTTGGTTGAACGGTTAAGGATTGCAAGATTTTGTCAGAAGCTAATCATAACATTCTCAATAGTGAATAAAACCATCATTTATGTCCTGAACAGGGTAGATGTTCCATTTTAATCGCCTCAATATAGGCTTCTTTCGAGTCAATCTACTATTGCCAAGCAAAGCAAACTCGCAAATTTTTCATACACTTGTTCTAAGCCTCAGCTGAGCCTTCAGCGAATGACTTTCAACGGGCTCATGACGTCATCGCCAGACAAACTCTTCCTGCCGCAAACAAGCAACGGTCACTAATTTTCTTATGCCGTTCAAATTTAACACGAACATTGAAATATGTTGTACTCATCTAAGATAAAATTAGATGAATTCGATTTACGCTCGCAGTTTAAATGAACTAGTCCTAGTCAAATTTGATCAGATGAAATGTACAAATGATTTTTCTGTATATGCGCAAACCCCTCAATTTAAAACTGAAATTTAACACAAGTGCTTCTGCTCCCTAAGGAGCTGCTGATTTGCTGGAACAGCCGATAGCGGACCACAATAAGATAAAATTGCCATACAAACTGATCGATCAGAATCAAGTCGTTGTATAGAAAACTTTTTTTAGTTGCCAAGTTATCTTCAAGATATTTTGGCATTTGAAGTGAACACTGCAATCTCTGTACAAATTGTTCCGATCGGCCTACTATAGCATGTAACTGCCATATCCATACTGACCGACCCAATTTAGATTAAATCCTCATAAAAGATCTTTTGACAAATACATATTTATATTAAAGAATTAGCGAACCGTTAACCGGTTAGGTTTTCAGATTTAGTTTTTAGTTTTTTGTGAACCTGTGAGGGGTATATAGCTCAACCTTTTTTCTTATTACGCTATTTATTTAATAAAATGCTTTCGACACACTTAATAACCGTACAAGCTTTGACTAATGGATGTTTAATACATATTTTTTCAGGAACAAGCAGCTTGGGTATGCCAATGTGAGCCGGCGGTAGTGCAACGTTTGGAGAATGATTTCAAGTCAGCACTACAACAACAAAGCTCCTTGGAACAATGGGCCTCTTGGCTGCAATTGGTCGTTGATTCTGCCTTACAGGAGTATCGTGGCAAGCCCAGCTACGCCAAGGCTGCGCGCCAATTCCTACTCAAGTGGAGCTTTTACAGCTCCATGGTTATACGTGACCTGACACTACGTTCCGCTTCCAGTTTCGGTAGTTTTCATTTGATACGTCTACTCTACGATGAGTATATGTTTTACCTGGTCGAGCACAAAATCGCTGAGGCGCAACAGAAGACCGCCATAGCGGTTATCTGCGATCGCATGGTAAGTCACACGAAATTAACATAATCGAATCTACACTGCTAATTAAGTTGACTTCAAAATCGTTTCGATCTCCCCACCGCATTGCAGCACAAGGATATTGACTTCGAGTTTGACTACCAGCTGGAGTTTATCAGCGAGAGCCATGAACAGCAGCAGCAGCAGCAACAACAACAACATAACTCAGTGAACATCAACACTACTTCCTCTGTCGGTAATCCTGCAAAGCGTCTAAAGCACGAATGAGTAAGTGCCGCGATAGAACTGCAGAGCGTACACCGAACGACACCCAGCAGTATTCAATGTAACGATGTTGGCGTGCTGCAGGCAAAGTTTGCCGAGTATCTTTGCTTGTTGGCATCCTTATAGTGGTAGTAGTACTAGTTGTAGTCCATAAAAGATAGCCATAGCCATAGCTGCAAGAAACGCCATTGAAGCACCAAATATATATATATATGTAAGAATGCAAAAAATATATATACTATTATATATGTATGCAGGCGCGTGCGCGAGAACTTGCAATATATGTTTTAGCAAAGGAATACATTTCCAAGCATTTAAGCATTTAAAAAAAACAGACATACAAATTAAGCAACTAATATTATAAAGATTTAATTTTTAAGTTTTTTTTTAACGCATGTTTATTTGAATAGAAGGCAAGTCATTTGTAATTGCCACCAAATAGTGTTAAGCCGTCCATACATAAAAAAATGCCGACACCCCAGTTGTGCGCCTCTAGCGTGTGTGCTTGTGGGTGTTTATTGATTGTAAAGTTGTTTTTCGAAGAATTGATACAATACAATACGTAAATATATACTATGAAAATAATTATCATGTTTAGGTGTCATATACATAATATATGTATGCTTGTATGTATAGTTGTTGCTTTTTATGCCTTTACATATATATAAATATATATATATATATATGTTTGTATATGTATAAAATATCATCTAGTGTCAGTTTTGTAAGGTTTCACGAAGAATGAACGCCATTGCTTCCCGGCAGAAAGTAAAAATTCCACTACTTGGAACCTCTTTCACTCCAAAAATAATATTCCTAGAAGAAGAGCGAACCGGAATCTTAAATTAACTACACGCTTTGACTTGCAAGCACTTTATACGTTGTGGAATAGGGGACTCAACGTGGAATGAATGAAATGAAATAACTAAAATTATTTTGTTTCTGTACAAAAACTGTAATTTTTCAAAAATTTTAATCACACTCTTTTAAGTTTTAAACTTCTTCAAACTTTACCAACAGTCAATTCCGCACTTAAAAAATTTGAAGTGCCCAGCTAAGTAATACGAAATATATTCTAAAATCGCCGTAAGAAGGAATATCTTCAATTTCGATCCCACTTGCGAAGAATTTTGCTCAAATAGCTTAAAAAAAAATTTAAATATATTATGATTTTACTATTTTGTATATATTTTTTAAATTTTATTTTTTATTTCACAATTGTATACCGGTACTATATTTTTGTTCGTAGAAGTTTCAAAGTCTTTCTAGAAGTACAGACGGCCATCAAATTTAGTTAATTAGCAAATTATAGGAGTTATAGAAAAATCAGAATACATTTTTCATTTTTAAGTTATGTTATTAAATCAGCTTACATACATGTTTCTTATTTTCTAAACAAATTTTAAAAATTGTATACAGACAGTGTGGGTATAAAAATGTATATTAAACAATTGTTCGTTGATTCGAAGCCCGTGCTTCAAAAGCTGCTCTGAAATATCATTATAAAATATGCATTTTGTCCTGAGTATAATAAGTTTCCTTATAAAATACTATTAATATATGTACTTGTATGTAAATGATGAGCGTGAAGAGCTGCGTACATTTTGCCTTGTCAGTCTGCATGTCTGCATATACGCGAATAAGTCTCTTGAACTGAAAAAGATGTCCTTTTTTCTCCAATAAGCTGCTACGCCGATATCGGACCACTATAGCATAAAATCTTGTATAAAAGACTTTATTATTTGACAAAATATCTTCACGAAATTTTATGGTTCAAGGCAACGCTACAATGTCCGCTCAAATTCCTCAGATCGAACCACCATAGCATAAGCTGTCAAGCTAACCAATTATAATCATTTTATTCGTGAAGAATATTCTAGCTTCGGTGCAACCGAACGTTGGTTTCCTGTTTTTCAATTCCTACCGCCATTCCAAGAAAAAAAAAGGGTTTTTACTTAAAAATTTAAAAACCTTTTATAAGATGATACTTATTTGCTTAAGAGGTTAGACCAGTTTAGGAATTACAAAAATTCGAAAATATTTTTCAAAATCACTTTGGGGTTCTAAAAATATATATTATTAGAATAGTTGTGTTCAACCCGCTGCAGTGTCAAGGTGTTTGGTTGGTTAGCTTCAGCAAATAGAACATGGAACACAGGCGCCATTTTGTAAACCGTGAATACAACACATAAAGCCTTTCAAAAATTTAAATCCATTTCCTTTGCTCCAAAAATAATAAATGATAAAAATTAACCTTCCAATGCTCTAAATTGGTCTAACCCCATAACAAGCCATAACAGTTTGAAGAATTATTTTAAAATTACATAATATTGAACACGAATTCAAAATTCATTAGTATTTTAGCTGTTCATTTACCAGTTTGCTAGTCATAATCGTTTTAATTAAGGGCTTTTATTTTAGAATTTTTTTTTCAAAATTTCCAAAAGCATCACCTAGCATTAAAACACTTTACATACTAATTAATTATTGCGTAGTTTATAAATCAAACTACTTTCGACTGCAGCACTTATTGTGGGTAATTTGAATATATAAATATATACACATACATACAATATAATATAAAAGTAATAATACAATTTCTTTACAACGCATACAATGTTTCATGTACAAATATGAATCGAGTATTTTTATAAGGTGATTAATACCAAACAGCACAAAGGAATATAAAACTATATTGTTCTGCATAGTCAATAATTTCGTAATTGCTCAAAGAACTCTATGAATGTAATTGTTATATGTATATTTTATAGTAAACGCAATAAACATTCCAATGCTCAAACCTTCATTGTATTAAATATATATATATATATATATGTATGTGTACTTATAAACATACGTATTTACCTGTATCATATACATATAAATATCGGTACAAAATGTGGCGCAATTCATTTTGACTACAGCGAAAAAAAAAAATCAGAATTGGTTGTTAAAATTAAGCAAATATGCTACAAACTATATTTTTAAGCAATGTGAAAATATACTAACTATAAAACCTTAAAAAAAAACAATTTTGGAAATCAAATTATTTACTATGACTCTAAATTTATGTAATGCAAAATAAAGAACTATCAATATATTTTTGGCTTTCCTTTTTTATTATACGATACGAATTTGTCAATTTGTACACAAACATCAGTGAAATGAACAATCTTATGCCGGACTGGTCCATTGAAACCATGGTTCAGTCCTTTAAAGTAGTACCATCTCGTTAGATGTTCCAGAAATTATCGATTTCTAGTGTTGAACGCAAATATTTTAGTGGCATTCAGTGAGGGTCAATGCTACCAACAACAGTAACACCAGCCGGTGTCTTGGGCTCCGAAAGCAAGCCAGACTTCGGTAGGACTTCAACTATCGAAGCTGCAACGGCTCGCCTGCATGTGCGTGTCGGGTGCCATGCGCACATGTCCCACGGCGACACTCAAAGTCTTGCTGGAACTCACCCCGCTACACTTAGTAATCGCTCAAGTCGGCAAACGCACTCTGCTCCAAAAGACAGTAGAAGAGTTTAGCAGAGGTAAGGTAAGGGAAAGCATTACCAAAAAGGTTAACTTCACCAGGAAGTTTAAAGTTACCCTCAGCAGTAGGGCCGAAAGGAAACATGAAATGGAAAAGAAAACTTTACGAATATTTTATTTGAAATCGGCTTGAAAATCCGAATTCGAGTAAATTTTTTTTCGAATCGAGTTACAGAATAGAGCCCCTGGTGAACTCCTGCTAATTGACTGATTGATAGCAGTCAGTAGGCGCAGGAGGAAATTCAGGATAGTTCTCTTTTTTCGTTTCGCCTACAAGAAATTTGATCCGACCTAGGCGGTAAGGGAACGGAGTATATCTAATTGAGAGCTGTCTAATTCCAAATACCCAATATTTGGTATTTTCTTATGAAAAATGTTAGTTCTAGCGGGAGCTAAGAGCTAAACCGATCGTTTCTGAACTGTAACACCAAGCTCTTTTGCAATAATACCGCGAATGTCATATATTCTTCTAACTCATCATTTCACCGACGGTTCTATATAATATAATATGAATCCATTAAATAATTAAAGCCATGTCGAAGGGTTGGTAAAATGTTATAGTTCCCATATTTTGTGTTTAAATGCGGAGTCCATTTCGACCTATATGTGTATATGAGTCCATTAAATGAAGTCCGCTCTTGTGTGAATTATACGCATGACACTGTTTAGATAAGAATTTTGTTATCACGTGCAATTTTTGTTCTTTAGTTCTTTTGAAAGACTTAATGCCCAATTGTCCTTTTTGCAATTATAAATTTTGAAGTACTTACCACCTCCAGTAAAACTCACCATTTGATAGCTTCTTCTGTACCGACTACCTCCATTCCAGACATTTGATGTGTTCGATTTATCTTGCTTATAGACAACTTAGGGCGTTTCCCAAAGGCTGGTTAGCAGCCATCTGTCGGCTAAGTTCTGGTTAAAATTATGAGTCTTGGTTAAAAAGGAATATTGGTTAAGTCTACCGAAACTTAGTTGTCTGCTAACCAGACTTGGAGAAAACGTACCTTGGCTACATTTAAAAACGCTGAATAGAACCCGAATTCAATATTAATGTCTACTGGGTCCATCAAAGCTTTAATTTCAGTATCACTCTTGGCAAGAAGCTTGAGATTTTTAGCTATTCCAACTATTACTTCTTTGATTAAATAACTTTTTCACCACTTTTGCCGAAATAATCACCTGAGATTTTTTAGAAACCCTAATCCTTAATTGTGAATATAATGATACACATGTTATTATAGTTGTAGCGACCGAAAACAATCTTGAAGTAATTTCGAGGAATGGTGACGAGTTGACAGTCATTGACTCGATAAAAATTCAGGTCCGTTCCGGATACTTAGCGATAGACGCTGGTAATGGTTTAAGGTAAAGCAAACAGTTAATGATAAAAGACAATGCCAAATTCGAAATCATAAATAAAACAGTGAATGGCTTTTCATATTTTTTTTATTTGTTTTATATAATTTTTAAATTTCTTTTTTTTTTTTTTTTTTTTTTTTTTTTTTTTTATTTTTTATTCTTATACACATCTAGATGTGTATAAGAGACAGCTGCATACACAATCAACCGACTTGCACACGCTTACAGTTAAGCATTGCATTTTTGAAATATAATGTTTTTGTTTTTGTTTTCATTGTATATACTTTAAATAATAAGTTTTAACAATTTTATAAAAATTAGCTTCCTTTCTAATCTATTATTTTTGTTGTGTATTTGAGATATAAAAATTCATTCATTTACAAAAAAGGAAACATTCGCGCCCATATTCAAACCACAACGAATTGCGTTTGCACATACAAATTCGCATTTGCCTTACTACACTCTACTTACCTAAGTGTGATATAAAAATAAGAATGCTATTACAAACTTACGAACTAATATTACCGGCTATAGTTAAACGCACACTGACATTCAACATCACTCATGACATTTCATATCATACTTATGTAGATATATAGTATACCTATATACTATATATGTATATGCGTATAAATATTTTTCAACACACGTGTAAAAATGCATTTGCATACAATAGTCTGAACATATCCAAATTCTCCGATTTCATTACATACATACATACATATGTACATGTTGATGTAGATATATACATGTGTGCTATAGTAAATGACTTTAAATGCGATTACTTGTGGGAACGTAAAAATTATAATAAAGATTTAACCAGAACTACGTATTCCGTCACTGAATGTTAGGTATCTTTTGTTCCCGTTTTTAATATAAATTAAATTTGTACTATTTCATTTAAGTTTGACGACGGCAATTTAATTTAAAATGAAAAAATTAACTTCTTGTTCTTGTACTTTCTTCATTTTGGGCATTCGGCAAGCCGAATCATTGCTTCGAGAAAAAAAAAAAAAAGTTTTTCATTAAATGCGATTACAAATGCAAAGAGTAAACGAATTCTAATTATCGAGTTTTGGTGTAGTTGTTATATCTAAAATAAAGTTATACAGTTATAGTATGTATTTACTTTAGTTGGAGCCTTAACGCTAATATTTACAAAATATTTTAGTAAGTTGAGGTTATGCTACTATTTATTTTTGTATATATTCTAATGAATTTTTTGTTCAATTGACTGTTTAAATGAGGTAAGTAAAACACCCACCGCGTCATATCTACAATACTATTAATTATATATATGCTATTGTATGAACGTAGTTCCGCACATTAAAAAAAATGTTTGCATATTTGTTTTTGTTTTAATATTTTCAGTTAAATATATGTACTTAAATACTGACCTGGCAAGATTGGCTTTACATAAATACATATGACTTAATATGCTATATTTTATTTAGAATCTATAAAAGGTAATGATGTGAGGAATGACTTGAAATGCAACTGTACACAGACTATATACCCGAGCCGCTCTATAAGTTATCTCCATTGAAATAAAACATATTTCTATTGTCCGAAAGTGCATACGCCCAAAAAACGTATGGCAATTGCATTTCACAATTTCACATTGTTTTTGTTTGGTCAAAAATTGGGCTCTTGAGCCGCTTAACTAAATTATATTATATGAATCGTCCATTAAGTATTCGAAAGTCCCACAAACTCGAAACATTTGTTTCTAACCCTTCTTTAAAATGTATGTACAAGTACAGCAGGTACAAAAATAATATTATTTTCATTATTATAGAGACTTTCCGCTCAGTCAAAACTTATTTGCATTTATGTTTGTATTATATTTACAGCTTATAGTTTTGTACACAATCAAAACAAACGCCCGAATTCATTCCAACCTTCAAACAGTCACCTTTCCGGCAAAGATTTTTTTCAACAACGATAAATAATTACTTGGTTGTTTCGGAATGACTAAGTCTCACTCACTAGCTAGCCAAATTTTTTGGAAAAGCGTTTTTCAATCCAAAAAAAAAAAAAATGGCAGAAGTGTGCACAAGTTGAGTACGTAAGAAGCTGAGAGAGCTGCTAGTTAAATTCCTGCTAGCTACCGTCATATGAAGAAACGGATCTGTTCACAAGCGGAATTTGACGCTTTTGCTTATCTTAATAGTTTTGAAAGTAAAAATCGATTAATTAGTTCTCAAGTGCTGGTTGGATATGATTATTAAAAACTAATGTGTTTCCTTTCTTATTTCTGCTTTTTTTCCACTTCTTTCTTTTTCGCTGTTTCGTTCTTTGTGGGAACAACTTTGTATTCTTCTGTTCCCTTAAAGCTAGGCAGCTATTAGCACTTCAGAAACAAAAGTTATGTTTATTATTTAAAGATAAAGTCCCAAATAAATTAAAATACTCACTTCCAAAAGTGGTTTCTTCGCATTTCATATGAGAATCCCACTGTAAGCAAATAAACATTTTAAATCATTCGTGCCAGAGCTAGGCGGCGTTTGTTTCGATTGTGTGCCCACCATTAAAATTTCAAAATTAGAAATCGTTCGTCTTTCGAAAATTGTCGAAAATCGTTTAAAAACAAAGCTTACTTAACAAAGAGATCAAGTTGGGAAAATTAAATGAAGCGCTACAAAATGGAGCATATTAATTTGTCAAGTTCATAAAATTTGATATGTGCCAAAAATTGTGTTATAAAACTAATGTGTGTAAGAACTGAAATCTAAATTAAATTTCGTTGTCAGAAATTATATAAATTTATATAAAAAGCGAACACAAAAAAAAAAACTTCTGTTAAGTTTAAATTATTATAGTAGTTATAAAATATTGGACACTTTTTCTAACAAAAGTCATATTGCAATATGATTATTGTAATATTTGAATAGAACTTAGAATTACATGTATCGATTTCGAGCTCACGCGAATTCAATGAATATTTTGTATTTTTAATATGCACAGAGCGTGAGCTGCAAAGCGAGCATGCATAGCCTTGAAAATGCAACTATTTCACTGCTAAAATAACTTCCAATAATTGCCTTTAGAGCAATATGTTCGATACCATGCGTTTTCAACTTAACCTTTAATTCATTATGAACACATAAACACAATGCGGAGTCAACGCAACATTTTAAGCGTATTTGTAACCAAATTTTCGTATTGTTAATATTATTAGTCAATTCGTTTTCAAAGCAAAAAATGTAGTTAATCAAAATAAAACCTGTGTTTGACACATACGATTTTAAATGTTTACTTGAAGGAAATTACTTTCTTCGCCGCTCGTGTGGTAACACATTTGAAATATAACAAATTCGCTTTAAAAACGAATAGAACTAATGTTGAACCAAAACCTTGCGGACTTTTACGTTCTGCCCGAGAGATATTATTTGTTAATTTTTGTTCGAAACATCACAAGTACTAAGCGCTTACGTTCATCGGCGTATACATTGTGTTAGATATTGTTATACTAAATATATTCATATTATATTATTTAAAATGAATATTTCTTGGTTCTCACTATCCAGAGACCTGTCCATTAGGAACAAATGCCTGAGTGGCTCTTTGTGTCGAGTCATTTGTTTAAATTCATGTTTTCTAAACAATTCGATTGACTAATTGTATTTTGCGACGATTGTTTGATATGGCGCCATTGATCTGTGACAAGGTGGAGAGTGCGCCGCTGACGCTGCCGATTGTGGTGCCGGTTGCTGTATTAATCGCCTGTATGGATGTGGTTTTGCTACCATTCCTTATCGTTTGCACAACAATATGCTGTGGCTGCACTTTATACTGTTTGATACTGTGCTGTTGTTGTATCTGATTTGGTTTTTGCTGTTGTTTTTGCAGTACCAGTTGTTGCTGTTGTTGCAGCTTGTGTTGCTGAATTTGCTTCTCCAGCTCACCGGCTGGGCCGATGGAGTAGTTTATGTTGAGGCGGGCACGCTTCGGCGATTGCGCAGCAGCGTTCAAATCGGCAGGACTCAGTTCAATTATATCGGATGTATTTACGGTTAAATGCCGTTGCATCGTCTCTTTATCGTCTTCAATATCAATTGCATCATAAATATCTTCAACCTGAAAAAATATATACAAAAAAAAAATTTGTTATTATGCAAACGAAATGTTGCTCAAAAAAGCGAAAACATAGAATAGACAAATACAATACAACACAAGTACAGGTCGGCTAAAAGCTAAGCAAAAATTTTACTAATTTCCAAGATCGACTACACCGCCAATGAAGAAGAAAATTCAAGATTAGATGCTAGGGCAATTCAATTTCCCTCGAATATTCTCGCTATATTCTTTTTGTATAAACTGTTATATTCTATTTTGATTTGACAATGCGAGTACTTTTGACTTATGAGACTGTTTTTGAAAGACAACTATTATTATATTTGAACTTCTTTTCGCTAAAAAAAAAAGTGTGTTGACAGGCTAAACGGTAGGAAAATAGCTGTTGGTATTAGGTTTGGAAATATGAACATATGTTATTACATAGAATGTGTGTGTTCGGCCAGAAAACTTGTAGGAGCGGAAGAACGGAGAGAATGGTCTCTCAAAAAGTGAAAAAAGTCAAACAGGTTAGAGCAAAAAAATGAACAAGCAACCAGGCAAAAATGCATTCTTCTTCAATTTGTTGTTTTTAATAATTGACTATTTGTTCATTTTTGGCGCAACCATATTTGTGCAAATCATTTCCCGACCGAGCACGGTTACAACAAAAAACCGTAGGTAGTTATGCTACTGAAGAGATAATATTATTTACTTCTTTCGCATAAAACATAAAATGCCCAAAAGGAGACAGAATTCGTGAAAACAAAAGCAAAACTTCCTACTGTACAGTAAAGCCGATATAAGAAACAGGCGAAAAAATATCAAAAAAAAAAAAAATTTATAAAAAATGGCAAATGTACCTTCTGCTCACGCTCAAGCACTCTTTGCACCATCTTCTCCACTCTTTTTATTTTGTGTGTCTCCAAACTCACCTCTATATCAAAATCTCGATTTTGTTGCATGCCAACGACATCATCGCCAGCACCACAGACGCTCACATCACCCGGCTCACTTAGTTCATCCGAATTATTTATCACTATACCGGTACTCATCATTTCGTCTTCTTCAATGTCCTCCTCAACAAACATATTATCCACAATGGTGTCGTCGAGTTCTTGCTCTTCCAAATCGGAAGTCTCCTCAATTTCCGATTGACTATCTAATTCGATATCTGAATCACCTGAGCTGCCATGTTTCATTTCACCCCTCTCTAATGCATCTAGATGATCCGGATGCACCATTGCGTTGCGTATACCCATGGGATCCTTACGCGACCATTTTTGGACTTCTTCGTCCATCTTCACAATGCGATCCGGATTCATTGCCCATAGACAGCCTTTGCGTTGATTGCCATTTGTCGCGGGTTTTTCAATCTTTTCAAAGCATTTATTCAATGAGAGGTTATGGCGCACACTATTTTTCCAGCCACTCGGCGCTGTGCGGAAATATGGAAAATGCTCACACATAAAGCTATATATTTCTGAGACGGGCAGGGAACCACTGCGAGAATTTTTTAACGCCATGGCTATGAGACAAGAGTAAGAATATGCAGGCTTGGGAAACTCAGATTCCACTGGCGCCACCTTAATGCGCTGTTGGAACGGTTTTACGGATATTGTTGTAATAGTTGTAGTGCTGGCAGAGGATGATGATGCATTGGCTGAACTACTGTTCGCTGTGATTGGTATGAGACCTGCGGTAAAACTGCCACCACTGGAACCAGTCGACGGGGACGAGTGCGATGAGGATGAAGACGACGACGGTGAACCGATCGAATTGCTCGTGTTCTGCATGAGTGGCGAGTGTACGGATGCAATGCTTTTTGGTGTAAAACTAGAGTTTTGTACATTTCGGCCCACCAACTTTGTGACGTGTTGTTGACCACCACCAATGTTACCATTAACATTCACAACACTTATATTTTGCAACGGACTGGAGTCACGTTCTCGCTTGAGCATAATCGTGTTATTCGTTGCGCCTGATTGTCCATTTTGCGTAGTTTTCACACTATTTTGCTGCTTCAATTTATTGTAAGCGATGCTGTTGGCAAACGTTAGACCACCAATACCGGGCGCCAGCTTAATGGTATTCGTTGTCGTGCTATTCAGCATGCCATTTGAGTTTAGCAGACTACTACTAATGTTACTGTTTCCACTGCTAGTGCTTTTTGTGGGGCCATTAGCAGTATGCTTAGCGTTCACGTTTCCTCCACCACTGTTACTTGTGGCACTCATTCTGTTCTCATCAGTCGTTGTGGCATTCAGCTTGCGCAACTCGACACCTAAATCCTTTTTGATCGTATCCACCGCACTTGAATTCTTGCGCTGGAGCGCTGAATTCGTCGCCAGTGTGGCCGGCGCTGTAGTGGCGGCTGTCACTGTCGATGAAATCGCCACTATCTGCTTTGGTATGTGTGAATAAAGCTGCTCGTTGCGCATCGCACCGGCGCTAACTTTTAATTGGGCAGGTGAAAATGTTAAATGTGATTTGGTTTCGTTTACGTTCGGTGACGCGGGTGGTGGAGAACATACGGAATTCTGTAAACTATTCGCATTTAAATTTACTTTCGGCGATTTATGTAGCAATGATGAGGATACATATGGCATTACAGACACCGGATCCACACAAGCTCCTAAATCGACATAGTAATCGTTCGATGATGACCATGACGGCCCTGAGATGTTTCCCAGCCAAGAGGAAAAGCTGTTTGTGGAGGAAGATAACGCAGCAGCGTTTAAATTACTACCACTACTGTTGTGTATGGAAGAAATTGCGTCGATAGCGTGATCAAAAGAGGACGGCAGATCGTTGACCAGGGAAGCGAGTTCATTGCTTCCCCCAACCACACTCGAAATCTCGCTGCGAATGTCGACATCTAGCATGTCCTGTAACGAGTCTGAGATGTATAGATCCAATGTCGGTCGCGATGTTTCCTTAAAAAAAAAGATAAATTAAATTAGACTAAGTTAGAGTTGGAAATAAAAATGTTAAAATAGTAAAAGTAATACAGTGCAATCTCCCATGTGGACACGGACAGGACCACCAGATCTGTTATGACCAGTTAATGTTGTTGTTGCTGTTGTTACAGAGGCAGAATTCTGCCGTGTTAGCAGTAACTGGCCGTATAAAAAAAAACCCAGGGCCGTTCCAGTTATGTAGACTGTGTCGTGGGAACGAATTAACAGGGTTATACGCCTAATAGATTGTCCTTAATAAGCGCTCAAAAACGCTAGGATCGGTTAATGGAGATGTACCTTTAACAGAGCTTATATCATATACGAGTATATATGAATAAGTGTTAATAATTTAGAGTGTCATACAAAATGTATATGTTTTCATTATCCATACTTTAGAAGTTCTAGCATAAGATATACATACATATGTAAGTATGTGTGTATGTATCCAAGTACTATATACATATATACCTACATAAACATTTGGCATGAATAAAAGAAATCACATGGAAACATGTTTCAACAAATTTACATGGAAACCAGGCAATCAGAAAACACGTCGAAGTGAAGAGAAAAGCGTAAAACACGAAGAAATTTACTAGGCGCATTTCCATTTCAGACACTCACACCTAAATATAATATAATAAAATGCCGTGTTGTGAGCTGATAAACAATACCAACAACGCCAAACCTATGAACCTATGCCAATACGGAAAAACTTCCAACCAGCGCCTTGCCCAGATAATGAGCAAATCACACAAAAAAACATCAATATTCTAACAATTCTAAATACTTTTCATTTTTATACCTGCACAAATACACACTCGTATACATATGTATGTATGTAGTTAGCAGTAGATACACACATAAAGTGCAAGCAACCGCTTGTATGTATCTAGAAGTATAAAATTTCGCAGAAGTTTGTTCACGTTTTTTGTGGTTGCTGCTTTGCCAGGCGGTTACAAGGGTGCCTCTGAGCCGTTGTGAATTTACCAAGTTGTATGTATGTGTTTTTTACTCAAAGTTATCGCCTAGGAAGACGTACGAGCACACAGCAAGCAAAAAGATACGTCTGTATGTAAGAGTATATCGTAAAAAAGACAACACCGCTTGAACTTGTATAAAAAAACAAGGTACCTAAGCAGAAACTGAAGTTAAAATAATATCTTGGCAACCAACAAAGCATGAATAATCAAACATAAACACACACTTGGGCACGAAATTACAAAATTACATACAACCATTGGCTTACCATTCGTGACACACATGTGTACAATTGTAGGATTTTTTCCCGCGCAACGAGAAATCATTACAAGACCATTGATAGAAGTAATATGTAAACAAAAGTTTTACGAATACAAATAGACGCAAGGAAAGCCAATTTTAGCACACAACGTTAAAAAGTTGATAAAAAGAAAACTAAACAAACGCAACGAAAATTGAAGGGAAAAGAATGATCGCAATGTTAAAGAACCCAGGTGGAAAGTATTAGCATTGTGTATAGCTGCAATGAAAATATAAATTTAACAAAATATATGGGATTAGATAGTTGTGTAGGTCGGAGGACGGTTAGATCATAAGGACAACAGTTGCATGCGTGGTGTGAGGATTCCTCTAGCTCATATGTATGTATGGCTACATTCCTTTGCAGTAATATTCAAAAGAAAACTATATAATTTTTACTAATATGTTCTTCGTTAATATGCTCAGTTAATATGTTCAGTTAATATGCATATAAGCTACACTTAAAGAACACACATTTCATTCATCATCATTTCTCATTGGGCTTAGTGATTGTAGAAGTAATAAATAGTTATAGAATCAGTAAACAAAATGTGTCTTTAAGCTAAGACCGAACTGGTTTTGTATAAAGTGTGTTATCGTACCAGCAGAAAATGTGCGATACTTACACTATATATTTACATATATATATATGTATTAGTGCATATACATATTGTAAATAAGTACAAGCATATGTATAAATATGTATGTAAGTATATGTAATGTAATAATTATAATAAATATTTACACATGTCTATTATATTATCATTCAGTACTCGCTATCTCTGCTCATTCATTTGAGATTCTTATCAACAGATTGACAAGTGGAAAATACATTTTTAGATTATAAGATGAAGCTTCGTAAGAGGCTCCTTTGAACTTATTACACTGTCAACGATTATAGATATGGTCACTCAGATATCCTATGGACATAAATATGTTCTTATAAATGTATACATGTAGATAGGTCAGGATGGTCCCTATTTCCAATTTGTAGAGCATATCAAGGAAATTATACATTAATTATACACCACCGACAGTTTGACGTTCTCCTTAATTGTTTTTCACTGATGCTTTCTTTCAAGAAGTATTAACTGAGATCAAATCGCATTTAATATATGGCACTACATTTAAGTATAATCCCAAACAAATAAATTCGAAATCTTTAAAATTCGTTGTTTACTTTAAAATTATTACTACCTCTTGATTATTGCTGTTGTTGTGTTAGCTGATAAATAATCCCCATTTGGATGGTAAGGATTCGATAAGTTGTCGTCCAATCATTTGATCAAAAGTCTACATGATAAAAACTTTAAACTTTAAATTTGACATCAAAATTTGTTTCTTGCTAGTTAACTTGTTGTCTGCTGCGCTATCATTTTCCAATTGGACTATGTAGAAAAAACTGCTTAGAAAAGCGCAGTTGCAGTTACATAACTGTACATACATACATATATACAAATGTATATGCTTATATATAATATGTCCATATGTATGCAGATATATCTCCAAAAACATGATAAAAACAAAAACGTGAATATTATGAAAATGACTTCAAAGTATGGCGCTGAAAAAGTAAAACAAAAAAAGCAAAATAAGAAATACAAGTGTAAACAGCAAGAGCAGAATAAAAGAAAAACAACAAAATACTATATGAGAACGGGGGTGAGAGGAATAATGGCAGCACTGTTCTTTTGCATGTCGACTTTGTACCACAGATGGGCGCCCACCAAAACAAACAACTGCTCTCCAATGAGTACAATGCACGGCCACTATGCTAAAGATACATACATGTATGTATGTACATTTTCGTCATGTCAGCAGTCAAGTCGCTGTTGCAATTTAACGTTACCCATGCATTTTCTTCTCAAGACTTTTTACCCTTTCTTGTCAAGCAAAAGAAGCAAAAGGTTGATCAAAGCATTCCATAGTGAAGTATGACACTAATTCATGGACATACATACAAAGATATGTATATGCATACACTGGTGCATCAACGCATCTCTTATCTCCACACTCTGCTCAAAAATATTAGACTAAACGATTTTTTCAATTGCTGTTTGTTGGGGAATATTTGTGTACATACATATGTATGTATGGATGTGCTGACAAGCAACATATCGCCTGTCGATAAGGCTGATACATTTTCCCGCGCAACTTTTTATTTAATTTTTTTCGATTTAGGTTGGATGCATTTGTGAACGAACTTAATTGTTTATGTGAATTTTTGCACATGACCAACTTTTCTAGAATTCTTTCAGACATGTTTTATATTCTTTCGACGGTGCAGGCCATGGGTGAATGCATTAGTAAATAATCGCAAATTTATGCAAAAATAAGAACATAGCATGCGCATATGTATATAATTTATAGCTGTCATAATTTAATGTTCTAATAGGCAGATAAAGCTTAAGTTTAGCATTATATTTTTAATAGGATTAAAAGTGCAATTACAATAATTCCTGACTTTTTGGTAGAACTGAAATCGGAAGCTAAAAAAAATTTTAAATTTCCTGTCAAACCTTATTATGGGAAAAGTGACTTATTTGTATAAACACTTTACTGTAAAAGATTTATTTCAACTTTCAATCCCATCATCTTGAGGCAACCTATATATAATGTTTCAGCAACATTACTTGGCAATATTTCGATGTTCGAATATTCAAATACAACGCTCTTCTTTGTTTGCAACATCTCACATATTATATCTACAAAGTGCTCTCTCATTTCATATACACATGCATATGTATTTATCAATTAACAGATACAATAACGTGCGAAGAGAACGACTAAGCCGGCAAATTACAGAAGACCGGCCGAACACAACAATGTATGTTGCAACAACAGCGGATGAGAATGTTTACGTAGTCGTCATTTCCAACKCTTCGTAGGTACACATGGCGCATTGATATGTTTGAGAGCGCATGTACAAATCTACCGGCAACCGTTTATGTTAGTTTGCATGTGCGACTGTGTGTTAGCACAATGAAACTGGGTACAGTTGCCGACAAAACACATTCACACAGCAGACTCAACCGCTACTATTTTTCCAGACCGGTCGGTCGTCAACTTTTAGTTCTGAGCCTGCACAGCGTAGCGAATACAAATGGAGTTTCGCTCAAGTGTTGCCATCGGAGAATAGTATTCACTACCCCCTATGTTGTCGTTTATTGGTAGGATTTCGAAAAATTACGTCTTGTATACTATTTTCTTTCACCAAATTTATAGAAATTTAATTTATAAAATGTTAATAGCAGCAATATGTATAAGGTTAGTTATTTCATAAAAAAAATATTTTACCGTGAAAAAAGAAATTTTAAAAATAAAACAGAATTTGAAAAAGATTAAAATTTGTTGATATTGTTCCGATTGCGATTTTTGTAACAAAAATTTATTAGTCTTATATGTTCAAGCGCAATGAATCCGAGTTAATGCGTGGATATACATATCGGGTGATTTTTTTGAGGTTAGGATTTTCATGCATTAGTATTTGACAGATCACGTGGGATATCAGACATGGTGTCAAAGAGAAAGATGCTCAGTAT